TAATTAGTGTAAAGACAGCATAGAAACCTATTATATAATCCCATTTTTAAGTAAAACATGAATATAGATATGTGTGTATTTATATACCTGTTGGTTATATCGCTAGCTATATTTACAAATGGCCTTTGTTTCCTTTTAAGACTTTGTTACCTTTTGGAATGAGTACTTAAGCTTCCATAGTCATAAAAAAAATAAAGGCATTTAAAAACTTTACATTAAACTGAACTAACAAGCTCTGGGGGATGAGGGAAGGCAGGGAAGTGAAGGAACTGAGCAAAGATGAAAAAAAAAGAGAAAGAACTCAAACTCATGAACACAGACAATAGTGGTGATTGCATGGGAGGAAGTGGAAGAGGGTATGGGGGGATAAATGGTGATAGGAAAAAACTAAATTAATTTTTTTTTAATGTTCATTACATTGACTTTATGCATAAATTTACATCCATTCATTCAAGTCATATTTATCAAGTATCTATGAACCAAGTACTATGGACACATGGGTAAACAAGATGGTACCTGTCCTCATGATGCTTGCTTACAGTGTATTAAGAAAACAAACACAGATTATTATAATCGTTACCTCATTTGCTTCAGTCTGTTGCTGTTCCTTCTTTTTTCTTCTTTTCTCTCTTTTTTTCTCATTTGCAGTTGATTTGCTTGTTTGAGACTTTCCAGGAGTCCTACCTTTGCCTTTTCCAGGCTCAGAATCAGAGCCACTACCACTATCCACTTGCAACAAGGCAAAACGAGAAGCAGTAGTGGGAACAGAACTAAGAACTGCTGAGGCCATTGTAAATATTTTTCTTTAAGAATACTTCTGTCAAGAATAATTCCTGTGGAGGGAGAAAAGAAGACAGGTGAGTAAAATTTATTAAAGATTCTACTGTAATAACAAATTTATACACACACACACACACAAATACATACACACACACACACACACACACACATCTCCAGACACGGGAGTTAGTAATATTTGGATTCATACCAACAGTCCTATGAGCAATAGCATACTTTTTAACTTAAAAACAACATAAAATTGTATAATAAAAAATGGAATAATGATATGAGATTTCAGACTAATGCAAGACTACCATCAATATAATGTATTCATTTTTCCATATATAGTTTTCAAAAATTCATGGTTTTCTTTTCTTTTAAATATACAGCTAAAATATATACATAGCTTGGCTGGTGTGGCTCAGTGTCAACCTATGAACAAAGTGGTCAAAGTTTGATTTCCAGTCATGGCACATGCCCAGGTTTTAGGCTTTATCCCTAGCAGGCATTGTGCAGGAGGCAGCCAATTGATGATTACCTCTCATCATTAATGTTTCTACCTCGCTCCCTCTCTCCCCCTCTAAAATCAATAAAAACATATTTAAAAATAGTAATTATATAAATACGTATTTATGGAAAACATCCTACATCAATACAGTTTAAAACAGAAAAGTGTATGTTTATCCCCAACTTCCAAAACAAAAAAAGTAGAAAAAGAACAATCTTATATACAAAATGCTGCCTTAAGTTTGATCCTAGCGACTAGTCCTAAGTCAAAAACTGAGAGCAAAATAGAGAACTTAAATTCCTGCAAAGAAAACTTTTCAAAATCACCCTCCACATTATCTTTTGATTCATACATAGCCTCAGTGCACCTTACCAGCCTCGTAGCCCCAGCTTGTGCCTCCAGTCTCGCAGCCCCACCTGGCACCCCCACCTTGGTCTGGCGTCGCCCCCTCAGTGCTCCACCATCCTGCCGAGGTCCCACTCTTGTCTGGCCCAATTGGGCTGGCAGCACCTCCACTGCCACCTGCTGCCAGCATCACATCGCCTACACCTCCCATGTTCCGCGCTGCCCCCTGGTGGTCAGCACATGTCATAGTGAGCAGTCAAACTCCCAGTATCCCAGTCAAAGGACTGTTCAAGGGGACAATTTGCGTATTAGGCTTTTATTATATAGGATTACTACCTAGTAAAAAAAAATTTTATAGTCATGAGGGGTCATGACAGTCTTCAATCATGACCATGTGACTTTAGCCAGTGAAACATAAGCTTTAAAAAGCTTTAAAATCATTTTTCTTCAGAACATGGTTCACCATGTTAGCTTTTCTCTGCTTCTATGATTGTGGAACCACATGTTGAGACAGAGTATTCATCAGTCAGATCTGATGGAGTCTGAAACCACAATGAACAAAGTCTTCTTACTAATCTGTGATGGATACAGGGTAGAGCAAAAATAGGTTTACAGTTGTATGTGAAACACAGTTTATTCTTATATTATTATTAACTAGAGGCCTGTTGCACAAAGAGATTCGTGCAATAGGCCTTCCCTTCCCTTGGCTGCTGGCCAAGAAATTTTATATTATTAAATTTTGATAAGAAAAGATTTAGGTTCTTTAAAAATAATTTCAACTGTTACAAACTACTGGATGGTTATAAAAACAAAAATGATTTGTCTTTATTACCTACTCAACCAAACAAAATTTCAATGGAAACTCAAGCTGAAGAAAACATCAATTAAAAGTCTGGATCAGGGCCCCAGCCAGGTGGCTCAGTTGGTTGGAGCATCATTCTGTACACCAGAAAGGTTGCAGTTTGCCTGACCAGTGTGGCTCAGTGGTTGAGCACTGACCTATGAAATAGGAGTTCCTGATTCGATTCTTCTGATTCCAGGCTTCATCCCCAGTGGGGGAGGGGGAGTGCAAGAGGCAGTCAATCAATGCTTCTCTCTCATCATTGATGTTTTCTATCTCCCTCCCTCTCCCTTCCTCTCTGAAATCAATACACACACACACACATACATACATTCATATATACTTTTTTAAAAGGTTTCAGGTTTGATTCTCAATCAGGGCACATACCTAGGTTGTGGGTTTAATCCCTAGTAGGGGCCCTTACGGGAGGCAACCAATCGGTATTTCTCTCTCTCTCTCTCTCTCTCTCTCTCTCCCCCTTCCTCTCTTTAAAATCAAGAAACATATCCTCAGGTGAGGATTTTTTAAAAAGTCTAGATTAGGAATTGCATATTCTTATTTCATGGATAAATTTTACTTAAAAACTAATGTTCACGGAACTTAAGTACAATTTTCTCATTTAAAACTCTGATATGATTCTGAAGTTTTTAATAAATTTAACATTTAGTATTTTCCTAATATACTTTGTTTTACCTATCCTAATCATATACTGTAAAAAAATGCAACACATTTATTCTCCACCCAGTTCTATGTAGACATTGTAGATCTCCCAGTTTGGGGACAATGGTTTACCTATGGTCCTTTACATTAGTAATGCAGAAGTCAAACAGCAGAAAAGCACTAGACAAGAATGCTGACCTGAAGCAAGAAGACCTGAGCAAACCCAACCTGCTGCTTACTGTGAGCCCCTGAACCACTTACTTGATCAGTTTCCTTATCTGTAAAACGAACAAGAATGCCCAGCTCACTGAGTTAACATTAAATATGTTAATGGGACTTTGCATACAATAACAGAACAGCAGTCAGTACAGAACCACTCAAATATAAACATCTATTGGTATTCTTACTATAATTAATTGAAATATGTCTTGAGGTCCTACGAGGCAAAGGAAAATTGGCACAAACTATTTAAAAATTTGGCTAAGCATGTCTGACTCCACTGCAAAAATATTTCGAAATTTAAATCAACACCATTCTAAAAGCTAACTAAGGCTTTAATCTTTGAAATGAAAGGAAAAAGTTGTTAGGCATTGAGAAGTAATTGTTGAGCAGTGAGCCACTGAAAAGGGTCAAAGACCTAATGATTATACCTAATATATTGCGGAAGGAAAACATCAGTCTACTCAAAACCCAAGAATCACAGTAGGGTCCATGTCTTAAACAGTAGGCATACAGTGAGTAGACAAACAATAAATGTTAAAATGAATGAAAAATAATAATAAAAGACAGAAAGACAAAGTGAAAACATTAGAATACTGTTAAACTGAGAAAAGAATGATATTCAAAAGACAAAATAATTATTTTCCTGAGGAAGCAGCTACCTATGCTATACTACCTCAGCAATCCACATATTAAAATAAAAGAGATTAACCAAAGAACTTATATGCATATATGCATAGCCCATGGACATAAACAATAGTGTGGTGAAGGTCTGGGGGGTGGGGGTGTCAACGAGAGAAAAAAAGAAAACATCTGTAATATTTTCAACAATAGAGATACATTTTTTAAAATAAAAAAATAATAATTGATAAAATACTCTTAGTTTATGAAAGGGTAAAATGAAAAGGGGGAAATGCTCACCTATAATGATCCCTTGTTTGGTCAGCAGTAGGAGTGCAAAAAAGATAGTGGCAGCCACTTGCACTATACTTTAGGTAACAGTAAATATTAAAGAACAGCTCTACGTAGCAGCTGAGAGAATAGGAGATGGGTCAACTGGAAGGATTCAATCATCTGTGCTACAAGCTGCACATGATATATAGCCAACACATTGTCTACTTCAATAGCCATTAGAGAAATCTACATACCAGGTCAAAAGGTACACTAACCAGTACCTCAGAAGTGAAAGAGGGTGAAATGTAAATTTTAAATTAAAAAGGGAATAAAAACATAAAAATAATCCCTAATCTGTAAGTGTGCATTATGTATTTACATACCAAAAACAAAGAAAATGCATACGACTACTCATGCTTGTTTTTCTTTCAACAGTTTTCACTATTTCCCCAAGTATTCTATAATGACCATATTTCTTCTATAAGAAAAACATCTCACACAGACAGTAGGGAAGTGAGGGCATGTGCTAGAACAGTGGTTCTCAATCTTCCTAATGCCGCAACCCTTTAATACAGTTCCTCATGTTGTGGTGACCCCCAACGATAAAATTATTTTCGTTGCTACTTCATAACTGTAATTTTGCTACTGCTATGAATCGTAATGTAGATATTTGATATACAGAATGTATTTTCACTGTTAGAAATTGAACATAATTGAAGCATAGTGATTATCACAAAAACAATATGTAATTACATACGTGTTTTCCGATGGTCTTAGGCGACCCATGTGAGAGGGTCGTTCGACCCCCCAAAGGGGTCGCAACCCACAGGTTATACTTCAAATAATAAAGAATTTGAATTTTTTTTTTTTTAAATCTCATCTTGAAAAGGGAAAATGATCATTTAAACCCAAATTCAAAAAAGTAAACTGATGTAATCAATGCAATATTGATTTTTCTGCTCTGTGTCAAACTTAGAAAGGGCAACTGCAGGTCAGAACTAACAATGAGATGCCTTTGGTCCTTAATGTTAGTGAGGCAGAGGACAAATGACAGACAGCAACTGTCAAAGACTGATTCTGTTGCATGTTTTTGGAGAATATTACCTTCATGAACAAATTTTTCCAAATTTGCAAAAAATATATTATCAATTCAAGAATTCATTCTTTTAACTACTGAAGAGAAAAAGGAATAAATAGGCAGACTATGACAACATCAGGATTTTTAAATATAATTCAGGGTATGGCTAGGGTTAATATTCCTTCAATCTTGTGTCCTAAAACTCTCGACCTCCATCTCTGGTCTTATTTAAGAGACAATAGGATAAATAGATTCAAATAGAGCTCTTTCTCTTCCCCTATTTTCCCTTTCTCTCTCACACAGTTTTTAATATCTCTGCATTTATATACATTTAAATGATGTAGATTTAATTAAGGTATACAATGCAAAAAGTGAAGTATAGTGGAAATCCCCTAAACTACCTACATTGGTCAGTCTCTGAATGTGGTAGCTAGTGCTATATATTAAACATTTACATAATACTAAAATACTACACAAATTAGATTTTAGTCTAGAAATCTACTTATTATTTCTTGTTTCCCCTCTTCCCTTTTAGTCTCCTTTTTTTAAAAATATATTTTATTGATTTTTTACAGAGAGGAAGGGAGAGGGATAGACAGAAACATCGATCAGCTGCCTCCTACACACCCCCAACTTGGGATGTGCCCGCAACCAAGGTACATACCCTTGACTGGAATCGAACCTGGGACCTTTCAGTCCGCAGGCCAATGCTCTAGCCACTGAGCCAAACCGGTTAGGGCTAGTCTCCTTTTAAAAATAATTTAAAGGCTGCCCTAGCTAGTTTGGCTCAGTGGATAGAGCATTGACCTGCGGACTGAAGGGTCCCAGGTTTGATTCCGGTCAAGGGCACCTGCCTGGTTGCAGGCTCGATCCCCAGTAGGGGGCGTGCAGGAGGCAACCAATCAATGATTCTCTCATCACTGTTTTTTCTTTTTTTAATATAGTTTTATTGATTTCAGAGAGGAAGGGAGATGGGGAGAGAGAGATAAAAACATCAATAATGAGAGAAAGCTCTAACCGGTTTGGCTCGGTGGATAGAGTGTCGGCCTGAGGACTGAAAGGTCCCAGGTTCAATTCTGGTCAAAGGCATGTACCTTGGTTGTAGGCGCATTCCCAGTAGGTGGCATGTAGGGGGCAGCCAATAAATGATTCTCTCTCATCATTGATGTTTCTCTCCCCTCTCCCTTCCTCTCTGAAATCAATAAAAATTAAAAAAAAAATTGTTTAGGGTCACAGGTTTGATTCCGGTCAAGGGCATGTACCTTGGTTGCGGGCACATTCCCAGTGGGAAATGTGCAGGAGGCCGCTGATCGATGTTTCTCTCCCATCGATGTTTCTAACCCTCTATCCCTCTCCCTTCCTCTCTGTAAAAAATCAATAAAATATATTTTAAAAAATAAATAAAATAAACTAAAAATAATTTAAAGGCTAATTCAGTTGAAGACAAAATTCACAAGATAAATTAAAAAATATATGGTTCAGATCAAAATGCACAAAAAACAAGTTTATAAATATACAAGTAGCTCATCACATATAAATATTTAATAATTTCTTAATTACTACCATTAGTAAAAACTATTAATTCCACTATACTTCACATAGCAGCAATATCAAATTATAGGGAAGTCTCCATTTTATATATATTCAATACACCAATTACTTAACGTAGTAATTATAGCATGTGTTAGGGCTTTTTATAACAATTATCCTTCCTCAGATTTTGCTCCAGCAAAACTACCTAAAATTTCCTGGTCACATATTCAGTTTTACTTGTTCATATCTTTACGCTATTCCTTTTGCCTAAAATGCTCTCCATCTCTTCCACTTAAAACTTGTATTCATTGTTCAAAATCTGCTCAGGTGCTAGCATCTCTATATTTTCTTTGACCGAACCCTCAAATTAATCATCCCATCCTCTGTAGTATTTCTGTATTTTACGCTTACTTTTATTAAAATTATGCTTGCCAGCTGGCATGGCTTAGTGGCTGAGCATTGACCTATGAACCAGGAGGTCATGGTTTGGTTCTTGGTCAGGGCACATGCCCAAGTTGCGGACTCTATATCCCTAAATGTGGGGTGTGCAGGAGGCAGCAGAACAATGATTCTCATCACTGATGTTTCTATATTTCTCTCCCTCTCCCTTTTCTCTGATATAAATAAAAATATATTAAATTTTTTTAAAGATTATGCTTATTGTTGTGCCTAGCCCCCTACAACCCTGATTTCAACATCCTAACAAAAACCACAGGACCTAGCACACAAAAAATCAATTTATTAAATTTGTATTTATTTTCTTTTTTTCCCAAATCTTTATTGTTGCAAGTATTACAGATTCCCCCCCCCCTTTTACCCCTATTGCCCCTCTCTACCTAGTCCCTCCCGCCCCCACAGGCCTTCACCACCTACTTGATCTGTGTCCATAGGTAATTTATATATATATAAATTTTTTGGTTAATTTCTTCCCACCCCAACTCCTCTCTTCGCTCTGAGATTCATCAGTCTGTTCCATGTTTCCATGCCTCTGGTTCTATTTATCATCAGTTTATTTTGTTCATTAGATTCCTTGTTTGTTTATCTTGATTTTTAGATTCAATTGTTGATAGATATGTATTTATTGCCATTTTATTGTTCACTTTTTTATCTTTTTCCTTCTTCTTAAAGAAGACCCAAAACTTACATTCCCCCAATACAAGGCTACACATGCATTGAAAGATGTGTTCATAGTAGAATGGATAGGAAAAGAAAACGCAAAATGCACTATAGATAATCCCCAATTCCATAATGCAAATGTGAATTTAAGATTATTAGCAGTTCAAAGTTGTTTCAATTTAAGTGCCAATCTACCAACTTATCATCACCACAACTAATTTTGTTTAAGACACATATTTGTTTAGGAAAACAAAATTGGTTTTAAAGTGTTGATTAAAAAGAATTAGGATATATGAGGTGCTTAAAATAAACTATTTCTAAAAAATGAATAGCCTAAACTGCAAGCAGCAGGATCTCAAAATGGTTGGTACAGCTGGTCACTGCTGAGGTTCTGAAGACCACTGCCACTATGACCTCACCCCTCACTATGACCTCTCTAGGGACAAGACGGACAATAGCTGTGGTGACCCTCAATTAGGGCCCTTCAAAAACCGACATATGTGCAAAACCCTCAGTCAAGGATAATCATATTTATTCATTTTTATAAAATAAATGACTATCATCTTCCATGAACACTATCAACCAGTAAGTCTGATTGGTGTGGCCTCATTGAACTATAACTTACATTTTTATAAAACAGCACAAAATGAAACAGGATTGGGCATCAATGATTTAACACCTGGTGAAATTTAAAGTTTGTATTATTTCATGTTCTGTTCCTCAAATAACACAACTGAACAATATCTTGCACTTTAGCTTCTTGTAAATTAAGATTCACAACCAACAAGTGCCAAATGTGTACCAACACTTGGCTCCCAACACAATTGGTGCAAACAAACCATGTAAACGTTATGGGTTTGCCTTAAGTTCTATATTTTCTTCATAAATGTTGCCTCCCCTTTCCAATCCGCAGCACCTAATTTCTGTGGGCTGAAAAATCTAAGCAAAAAGTACAAACAGCCCTGACCGGTTTGGCTCAGTGGACAGAACGTCAGCCTGCGGACTGGAGGGTCCCGGGTTCGATTCTAGTCAAGGGCATGTACCTTGGTTGTGGGCACATCCCCAGTGGGGGGTGTGCAGGAGGCAGCTGATAGATGTTTCTAACTCTCTATCCCTCTCCCTCCCTCTCTGTAAAAAATAAATAAAATATATTTTTTAAAAATATGTTTTAAAAAGTACAGATACTGAGGACCTAAGGGATTCTCCCATCGATAAAGCACATGTATTTTCATTTGCCTCAGTGTTCTTTGGTCAACTTGCAGGTTCTTGCTTTTAGTCTATCGAGGGAAGCCACTGTTGGGTATCTTATAAATAAGTCTGTTGTAACCATTTATGACAATTAAGAATAGCTTCCATTGATTAGGATTTGATTAATACCGACTACGGTATTATAAACCTACTGAGGGGGGAAAAAAACCCACCCTATACTTCCGAAGTTTAAAGATTGTTTAATGCCTTAATTTACCATAAAGTTTCTCCAATATTCTTAGAGCTGCAAGTCAAACTTATTAAACTGACGACTCCGGCTACAATCACAAACGTAGTTACTACCTAAACAGGCAATACTGACCGGCAGAGAAAAATTTTCACTGGCTTTCCAGTACAAGAGAGGTTAGTGCTTCCCATGGAAGCCATAGCACCTACTCAATTGTAAAATCTAACTGAAAAATTAAAAAATTTAAAAGAAGCTGGAAAGAGAAGGCAATTCAATAGGCCCATTTTGTCACTCCTGTTCAATACCTACTAAGCACCCTAAATTCTAGCCATTTCACAAAATTCTGAGAGAATGCTTGTTCCAAACAATAACAGCGAAATAGTAATAATAATAATTATTATAATTATAATTATAAATGTGTAACAACCCCACAGCCCGCTCCCGCCCTCTCCCACAGCGAGCGGCGAGGAGGCGGCGCGCTCTCCCCGAGAGTAACTCACGAGGTACCTCGCTCATGAATGAAGCCAAATTCACCGCGGGCCGGGGCTCCCAAACTTCTCCGCACAAAGTACGTAGGAAGAGACAGGGCTGGGCGAGACCCAACTCAAGCGAAGAAGCGGCTTCGAAACCTGAAAGGCAGAAAACGGCGA